CTCTCATCAGGGGGAGTTATTACGCGTTGTACTCTTTTTCCCTTACAAGGTTTTGTCCCACTGAGTTTTCCTTGCAAGGTTTTTAACGAGGCAATAAAAAGGCGTATTTCTAATCATGTGTACTCTTTTTCCTTCACTAGGATTTTTTTTTCCCATAGGGTTTTTTCCTAGTAAGGTTTTAACGAGGCACATTATCTTTGAACATCCAAGGGGGTGTGTTATGATAAATATGACATTATGGTGGATGTCTACTCTTCTTCCATGATCTTCATCTGAAATGCTTAATGACATATTCAATGATATTTTTTGTATGTTCAATGACATATTCCATGACATATTTTCTTCACTTTTTATGCCTATATAAAAGCCTTGTAATAGATAAGAAAATACACACAATTGAAGAAGAAATAAGAATCTCTCTTCCTCTCTTTTTCTCTATATCTCTTAGTTTGTTTTTGTTTGTTCTATATTGTTATTTTGGGTTATATTTTATAACAGATTCAAAGATTTAAAGAATTACTTGTAAAAACCTCATACCCCCACTAATCATTATTGCTCAAGTGACATATCTTTGTTATGACATTTTTATCGAACACCAAATAGGCTTCTTAACTTATCCCCAAGAGCATACACTACAAATAAAATTAGTATAAGCAAACAACTCACAAACTTAAATAATTACAAAATGATACAAATTAATCACCAAACAAAAAATTCAACATATAGTAAATTTAAAAGATAAAGAATGAGCAAAATTTACTTAATGAACGGTTTATATATAGATGTATGCATTTCGAAGGGGCTTGAGGAAATTAGATACATATTCATTTGCAAATGAAATTAAAAGTATGTAAAAAGAGGCATACTTTGATCTTTTTACCAAAAAAAAAAAAACTTCTCCTAAACATTCAGTAAGCCGGTTACCTTCAAACTGGAGTTTGTTCAAATCCCCTATCTTCAAATTCATGGAATATTGAAAGGTTAATCCTTGGTTTCTTTAAATTGACGAGATTGTCTCTTTCGGCTGGATAGATTAAGCGACAACAACAATAGAAAATTGATTACTCCTAGTATGTAGAGAGAGATGCCATAGGCGGGATGAGATAGAGAAAGAGAGGGAATTGAAAATATAGAATTTGTTTTTGGAGGGAGGATAAAAGTAAAAGTTTGGTTCTGCCATTTTATCTAATTGCCCCTAAAAAGTATTTTTTACTGGCCATTCCACATTTATCGGTGTAGTTTAGCGTAGTGAAAAAAATTAGGGACAATTAGTTTATTGCCGCTAAATAATTATTACTAAAAGCTATTTTTGTGGTAGTGGCACTCATACTTTCATACATGGATGATGAAATCTAGCCAAAACCGATCAATTCAGACGCAGTCAAAAGATACTATGCTTAAACTATTTACATTTCATCATCTGATGTAATTGAACTATGCTTGACCTGATTCCCATTTAAGAGGGGATAAGTAGGCAGCCTTATGGGTTCGGTCATATCATAATAAAATTTTCATTTTCCCCTAAGATCAGAAACTGGGGCAGAATTTTGAGGAGGACCCTCAAAATTTCGGAGCAAGTCCAGCCAACGCCAACACATGTCAGACGGTCAAAAATCGATTAAGAAACTGTGGCAGAATTTTGAGAAGGATTCTCAAAATTTCGAAGAAGGGTCAACAAGCCTCATTACCCGCAAACGGTCGAAGGATCATCTACCAAACTAGGACAGACCCTCAAAATTCTAACATAAGAAAATGCAATGTCTTTGAAATGTGCTACAGTCACTAGTTCATCTAAAAAACCACTTGATGTATCAATATGCTTCTAAAATGTCTCTATTTTTATCAATAATTGCATATTTTTGAAAACTCTATTTCTGTGACAATCAGGTGTTACCTAGGGAAACTCAAAAAGGCCTCCAGAACGGAGCAAAGCAAGGCCAGCGGACGAAGGCACGGACCAACTTCCCTCCACAAAACTTACAATTTTTCTTTGAACGCAGGACAAAACTTACAATTTTTCTTTGAACGCAGGCACATCTGACGTAACAATAACATCCGCAAATATATGCACATAGCAAGATTACTATCAATCCGGATATCAGATACCGAACATATCTCCAGCTAAGAAGTACACTGCTCTTATTTGATACTCGCTCTTTCTATGGGACTAAGCCCTGTCCCGCATACTTGCATGAGGCTAATCCTTGCCTCCATATCTTCCATGAGGCTAATCCCTGCCTCCACACCTGCATGAGGCTAATCCTTGCCTCCATATCTGTATGAGGCTAATCCTTGCCTCCATACGTGCGTGAGGCTAATCCTTGCCTCCCCACCTGCATGAGGCTAATCCTTGCCTCCACATTTGCATGAGGCTACTCCTTGCCTCTCTATTTGCATGAGGCTGATCCTTGCCTCCATATTTTCATGAGGCTAATCCTTGACTCTATATTTGCATAAGGCTAATCCCTACCTCCACATTTGCATGAGGCTAATCCTTGCCTCCACATCTGCATGAGACTAATCCCTTCCTCCATATCTGCATGAGGCTAATCCCTTCCTCCATATCTGAATGAGGCTAATCCTTGCCTTCATATTTGCATGAGGCTAATTCCTGTCTCCACACTTGCATGAGGCTAATCCTTGTCTCCACACTTGCATGAGGCTAATACTTGCCTCCCATATTTGCATAAGGCTAATCTCTGCCTCCCTATTTGCATGAGGCTAATCTTTGCCTTCATATTTGCATAAGGCTAATCCTTGCCTCCATATCTGCATGAGGCTAATCCTTGCCTCCATATCTGCATGAGGCTAATCCCTGCCTCCACATTCGCATGAGACTAAGCATTGTCCCTCCTTGCACAAATATTGCTCTATTTCTAGTACTATCTATTTGCTTTTTAATCGGGCTAAGCTCTTCCCTCCATTTCACAAGACTAAGCCTTATCTTGTTAACATCATATTATCACATATCATGGGCTGAAATATCTCCAATCTATTCGAAGACGTCATAGTCTAAAAGGCATCATCCTCATTGCCGGAAGACACCATGTTATGGCCTGAGGATCCCTTAAATTTGCATATCATTATTCAAAGGCGTCATGGTTCGGAGGCACCATCTGCATGGCCCGAGAACACCATTTCATAGCCTGCGAATCCCTCACTAAACAATTCATGGCCCAGGACATCATGGTCCAAAGACGTCATCTTTAACCGTCCAAATACAACCTTTATAGTCCAAAGGGAATCTGCATCATGTTTAAATTTTCGTGCAAATACATGTCGGTAGTGTCCTTTCATTTGCAAGTGAAAAACAAGAAACCGCTAACCTAGCAGGAGCGACCTCGCTCCAGTTCTTTCAAATTATCTCAAACTTAACCGCTCACCATAACCGCTCTTGCATCTAGTGCCCGTTCTTGCAATGACTTCACTGGTATATTCCGTCAATGAATCTCGAACTACACATGGCCTGTCCTGTAAAACTAGGGATATGTAGGCAACTCAAGACTGGAGTCCGGCCTCTGTCTCTCAAAACATCCCATCCGGTCAAAATTGGCCATCATTTCTGTACCCGAAAACTCTTTCATCCNATCATTTCAGTACACAAACAAAGTTTTTGGTACCCGCTTATTATTTTTATAAATTATTTAGTTATTAAAAGTAGCTATTTAAAACCTAGTCTATTTTTTATTTCAATTCTAGCCCTAATTCAACCCAATACCAGCCCTATCCCAATTTAAATATACCCAGCCCAATACCCATCTGCCCCAACCCATAACCCGGGCAAATCCTGGTCGTTGATCAGCGTGATCAACGGTCCAGATTGACCCTTGCCTAAAATAAACCAAACGACCCCCCCCCCTCAAAAAAACCCTTTCATTTCCCACCGTCCGCCGCCCTGAAATCCCTCTCCTCTCTCAAATTATCTCAAACCTAACCCTAATCTACCCACATCGTCGGTCGTCTGTTGCCTTCCATGGTGTTCCTCACCACCCCAGGCCTCTAGTAGCCTCTCTTGTACTGGTATCACCATCTTCAGGGTCCTCAAGGGACCATGGTTAGTTTGCTTGCATCTATGGCCATTTCTCGCCTGTTTCATGCTGTCCTGGTTTGATTCCGAGTGAGATATTCCTATATCTGGGTTTCTACGTTTGATTCTCCATCTCTGTGATTGTTTTTCTTGAAACCCTATTTTCTTTCTTCTAAACTTCTTAGATATGTACATATCTGAGATATTTTGACCTATTTCATATAATTTTTTACAATAACCTTTTGATTCTTTACAAGGATCGTCTGATTTTCGAATGATTTTTCATCTTTCTCTAAATTAGGGTTTCCGGAATCTCTTTTTCCAAAAAATATTTGATGATTTGGGTGTTTAATCTTCTGTTTAGGGTATGTTTTAATCGATTTCGTTAGGTTTGCTCTAATTTCAACTCGTTTCCACTAAAAGCCCTAATTTTTTGACGTTCTTTGTTTGGTTTCTAAGTACTCGTGTACTGACTGTGTTATTGCCTTGGTTTTATAATTTTTCTTTAGCCATCTAGATGTCTCGTGATTTTCTTACCCTAATATGCCTCTACTGAGTTCTTGGTTCAACTTTTTCATTGATTCTATATACTTATGTTTATTCTGACTATTCTTTCTTGATTTATTTATGTTGGCAGCGAGACTTGCTGACTCTTTGCGTGATTTTCTCTTTGATTGAACCCTTGACTATTCTGAAGTTCTTATTTCCGGGGTTGATTTGAACTCTTTTCCTTAACGAAAATTTTTATTCTTACCTCCTTACTCGGTTTGATTAAATTTCTTTCCTTAATTAGTTTTCCCTTGCCTTATTTGCTATTTGGTGATTCTTATTGATTGTTTCCTTAATTGAAACTTCTATTCATTTACCCCTAATTACCTACTTTGTACCCCAAACCTTACTTGATTCTTTTCCCTAAATATCTATCAGGCTTTTACCGTTAATTGGTTATCCCTTGACTAAAGGGAAGACTTATCGATTTACATGTGTGATTGATTCCATGAATTTTCCTGATTGCTACTTAATTAATCTCTTACCTTATTTGGTTAAGCTTTTGATTACTATATAAGCTACCTCTTATTTTAACCTCTGAGGAACATACAATAGTTCAAAAACTACTACTTTTTTCACTAAAAAAAGGCTCTCTTTCTTCTCTCTTTGCTATTTGTGATCTTTGCCATTCTAGCCGACTGCAAGCCAAGGATGGAAGTTGCACACTGCCTTTCTCACATCTTGTATTTTTTATTCTTTAACTAGGTATGCTTCGGATTAATTTTTAAGAATCAAAACCTATGTGTTACTTACTGCTTTAGTTCATGTGGCCTGATGTCCATTCTTGTTTCTATTTACTGCTTAACTAGCATGACAAATCCTGCCTACTCAAATTTGTGATCAACATGTTTCTACTATGCTTGCTTGTTTGCTGTCTTGTTTAACATATCTACATATGCAACTTCAGCATGTTGGGACTAACTACTGTCTTTCCTAAACTCTGCTTCTATATGATTAGCATGCCTTCATTGTTAATACTTGCCCAATATGCTCATTTAAGTCCTTGCCTGTTCTGTTTCACTCCTACTAAGTCAGTCAATCTCTTCAAAATGATTCTAGTTGTGTGGTTTAGATGTCTTCAGCATGTTTTGCTGTGATCTTTGCTGCATCTGTAGAACCCCCTCAAAACTCTCTATATTTTGTTGTTTGTCTGCTTCATTAAAGCGTACCCTTTATGTTCCCAACCCTCATCCCCTTGTGTGAAAGTTGTTCCTAAAACTTGTTCTATGACTTGTGCTCTGATTGCAAATTGGTTTCTTTACACTTTCCCTCAAACTGTTTTAGTACTAATGGTTTTCAGAAGCTCTTTTTCAGTCTTAAGACCTTTCTATTAAACTCTTTCAAACTGTTATGCATTTCCACTTACTCTTAGAATACTAGGTTCTGCCCCTCTGATATGTGTACTACCTTGAGAACCTTGAGATCTCTTTGAACTCTGGCATATCAGGGCTGGCATTTCCACACTGCACAATAATCAGCTGTCATTTGAGAAAGGTCTAGGTGTGAGCACTACCCGGGATCCTTGAGGTCCTTAGGGAACTCTGACATACCTAGACATGAATTTTGCTAT